TAAAACAACCAACTTCCGTTAGCAATAGGACTGTCTGTCATGGACCTTACAGCCCGGGACTCTAGGATCTGAGAATTACAGACCGCTTCATTTACTGGGCCACTCAGCACTTGCTACTGGTGCCAGGCACTGGGGGCTCTAGGGCGGCTGCCCCACAGGTGCTGAGATGAGAGCCCCCTGGGCAGGTGGGTCGGCTGCTCAGCAGAGGTTGGGTATGCGTGTAGGGGCACAACAGACCAGGGCGTGGTGGAGGGCTTGGCCAGCTCCAAGACCTGCCGGGGGTGCTGAGGAACAAGATACAGCCACACTTGTGGCTCTGAGCAAGCCGGGACCTTCAAGGATGAGTCCCCTGGCTGCAGACAGGACAGGGGCCGGCCGGGGCCTAGGGCATCATGGCCTCATGTCCTCCAGGCATCATGGAGACTCCAAGTTAGGGAGACCACCGAAGGGGCAGGGGAGGCTGAGAGAGCGAACACTTTCCTCCGGGACAGTTTAGACTCTCCAGAGCTTTCAACTGGATCCCTTTGCTTATTTTTCTGCACTTCCTGGCCTCAGAATTCAGAAATTACCATTATCTACAGACCCAGGAATAGGGTGAATGACATTGTAGGATCTTGATATATTGCATGTGAGGCCTTCAAAGTGGAGTAACTTCATTAGTTTGCTCGGGCTGCGGTAGCAAAGTATCAGGAGCTCAGTGACTTAAAAAGAGGCATTTCTGCTCTCACAGTTCTGAAGGCTGGAAGGCCAGGATCAGGGTGTTTGCAGGGTTGCTTCCTTCTGAGGCTGTGAGAGAGAATCTGCCCCAGGCCCCCTCCTGGCTTTGGGTGCTTTGGTGCAATTTTTGGTCCTCCCTGGCTTGTGGAGGCCTCACCCTGACCTCTGGCTTCATGTTCAGAGGGCGGTCCCACTGAGTGCATGTCTAAGTCCCAATTTCCCCATGTCACAAGGATACCTGTCACGTCAGGGGCCTTCCGCACGCCATCATGACCTCATCCGAACTAAGTACGTGTGCACTGACTCTATTTCTAAATACGGTCACATTCTGAAGTTCTGGAGGTTAGGACTCCAACATGTGAATTTGGGAGGGTGTGAAATTCAACCCATAACAGTAAGTAACTGGCTTGGATTTTAGGTAGAATTATTGGTGGTCATCTTGACACAAGAATAACGAAATTATTTTGTCTAATGCAAACTCCACCTCTGCTGTCCATTCAACAAATACCTCCTGAGTGCCAGTGATGTACCTGGCACTGTTCTGGGCTTGGAGGAGATGCAGTGAATGAGAAGGACAGGAATCCTGTTCCCCTGGCACCTGCAAGAGAGAACCTCGATGAAGGCCCACATGAATTGTGGATTTCCCCTGCCCCAGGCTGTGATCTGGCCCTTAGCAGATCATTTCCTCCGTTCCTTATGCCAGCCCTAGATGGTGGGCATGCTTATTCCTATCCCACTTCACTGAGGGCAAAGCTGTGTCGCAGGCCAAGGTCACGGCCGGGTTTCTCTGAGCTGCCTCTTTCCTCCCTCCAGATGCCGGTCAACAACCATTTGACCTCGATTTAAGCTGATGATTTACAGTGACAGAATTTTCCAAACAAACATCAGGCTCCCCAGCATGAGTATATTTAAGAAGCAGCTGAACTCATTAGCGGGCTGTGGTGGCGTGTGTCCCAGCTACTCGGGATGTTGAGGCAAGAGAAGCACTTGAACTCAGGAGGTAAAGGTTGCAGTAAGCCGAGATTACACCACTGCGCTCCAGCCTGGGTGACAGAGCAAGACTCTATCTCAAAAAAAAAAAAAAAAAAAAAAGGTAAAAGAAAAAAAATAAAGCAGTAGCTGAACTGAAGCAGCAGCCCCGAACCCCGGGCCCTGTAGCTGCTGTTCCCACTTTTGGGAAGAAGCAGCAAGAAGGGGACTGAGTTCCACTTCGAACCCTGTTCCGCAGGAGAGCTGGATTCAGCTCTGGCCTGTGGGTGTGGACTCTGGAAGCAGCCACCTGGGCGCCAGCTAACCTCATGTTACCCTCACAGCAGTCCAGTGGGATGGGACCACTTGGTTATTATTATTATTGTTCGTGATAAAATACACGTAACATGAAATTTACTATTTTCCCCATTTTAAAGTATACGATTCAGTGGCATTTAGTGGGTATACAAGGTGGTACAACCCCCCCACCCTGCATGAGTCTGCTCTGGCTGACATAACAAGACACCACACACTGGGGCTTTTTTTCTTACAGTTCTGGAGCTGGAAGTCTGAGGTTTAATGTGCCAGCAGGCTGGGTGCAGAGGCTCACAACAGTAATCCCAGTATATTAGGAGGCCCAAAAGGGAGGATCACTTGAGGCCAAGAGTTTGAGATCAGCCTGGGCAACAAAGCAAGACCCCATCTCTATGAAAAATAAAAAATAAAAATTAGCCAGACATGATGGGCATGTGCCTGTAGTTTACTGGGGAGGCTGAGGCAGGAGGATTGCTTGAGCCTTGGGGGAGGCTATGGTGAGCCAGGATTGCATCACTGTACTCCAGCCTGGATGACAGAGCAAGACCCTGTCTCTTTATTTAAAAGGAAAACAATAAAAGGGAAAAAGGTGCCAGCAGGGTTGATTTCTGGTGAGGCCTCTCTTCCTGGCTTGCAGACAGCCCAACCTTCTCCCTGCATCCTCACGAGGTCTTTCTGCACGTGCAGAGAGTGGCAGAGAATCTGGTGTCCCTTCTCTTTCTTATAAGGACAGCAATCCTATGGAATAAGGGCCCCACCCTTACGACCTCATTTAACCCTTATTACTTCCTTATAGGCCCCAGCTCCAAATAGAGTCACCTTGGGGATTAGGGGGTTCAACATGTGAATTTTAGGGGGAAGAGGACACCTCCCATTTCCTAACACCTGCTCTCTAGTTCCAGAAGTTTTTCACCAGCCCACACAGAAACCCAGTGAGCAGTTCACCCCCCATTTCACCTCCCCCAGTCCCTGGTCACCACTAACCTACTTTGTGTTTCTATGATTTACCTGCTCTGGACAGTTCATAAAAATGGGATAATAGGCCAGGCGTGGTGGCTCATGCCTATAATCCCAGCAATTTGGGAGGCCAAGGTGGGTGGATTGCTTGAGGCCAGGAGTTCAAGACCAGCCTGGCCAACATGGCAAAACCCCATCTCTACTAAAATACAAAAATTCATCGGGCTTGGTGGCATGTGCCTGTAATCCCTCAGGAGGTTGAGGTTGGAGAATTGCTTGAACCTGGGAGGTGGAGGGTGCAGTGAGCCAAGATTGTGCCATTGCACGCCAGCCAAGAGATAACATAGTATGTGACCTTCTGGGTCTGGCATCTTTTACTTAGGATAACGTTTACTATGCTAAGAGCTATTTATTATCTTGACACATGCTATTTGTGCATATTGACGGGGTCCATGTGATACTCTGCTACACGCCTACCATGTGTAATGATCACAGCCGGGTGTTTAGAATATTCATCACCTTGAACCTGTATCATCTCTTTGTGTTGGGAACATTTCAAATCATTTCTTCTAGTTCTTTGAAATAGACAACACATTGTTGTTAGCTATAGTCTCTATTGTACTGTCAAGTACCAGAACTTATTCCCTCTGTCTAACTGTATGTGTGTACCCACTGACCAACCTCTTAGAGCTATTTTTGTTGTTGTTGAGACAGAGTTTCACTCTGTTGCCCAGGCTGGAGTGCAGTGGTGCGATCTCCGCTCACTGCAACCTCTGCCTCTTGGGTTTAAGCAATTCTCCCACCTCAGCCTCCTAAGTAGCTGGGATTATAGGCGAGCGCCACCACACGTGGCTACTTTTTGTATTTTTAGTAAAGATGGAGTTTCACCATGTTGGCCAGGCTGGGAACTCCTGGCCTCAAGTGACCCGCCCCCCTCAGCCTCCCAAAGTGCTGGGATCTCAGGCGCCAGCCACTGCACCCGGCCCCTAGTTTTTTGTTTTTTTTAGATGGAGTCTCACTCTGTTGCCCAGGCTGAAGTACAATGGCTTGATCTCGGCTCACTGCAACCTCTGCCTCCCAGGTTCAAGTGATTCTCCTGCCTCAGCCTCCCAAGAAGCTGGGATTATAGGAGCCCGCCACCATGTCAGGCTAATTTTTGTATTTTCAGTAGAGACGGGGTTTCACCATGTTGGTCAGGTTGGTCTCAAACTCCTGACCTTGTGATCCACTGCCTTGGCCTCCCAAAGTGCTGGGATTACAGGTGTAAGCCACCACACCCGGCCCCTAGAGCTTTTTTTTTTTTTTCGGAGTTTCGCTCTTGTTTACCCAGGCTGGAGTGCAATGGCTCGATCTTGGCTCACCGCAACCTCCACCTCCTGGGTTCAGGCAATTCTCCTGCCTCAGCCTCCTGAGTAGCTGGGACTACAGGCGCGTGTCGACATGCCCAGCTAATTTTTGTAGTTTTAGTAGAGACGGGGTTTCACCATGTTGACCAGGATGGTCTTGATCTCTTGACCTCGTGATCCACCCGCCTCGGCCTCCCAAAGTGCTGGGATTATAGGCTTGAGCCACCGCGCCCGGCCTATAGAACTATTTTTTTAAGTGCATTGTTGCAGAGGGAGTCAAGACCGGCCGAGTTCATGCCACTGTCAAATGCAGCTCCTGTTGGGAGTTGGGAGGTGGGGCCTGGGCTGGATTGCTCCTAGGGCAGCTCCAGTGTGAACACTAAAGTCCAGCCACAGTCAGCTTAACAGGGTGAAAAATACTTGAGCCCTTCTCAGGACACGTGCCTCCAAACCGGGGCAAAAGAGAGTGCCACTCCCCAACAGTTCCCCGGGAGTCGAAGGGGAAGTTCCCTTTGTGCTTGGTCACCTGCCTGGGGGCTGAGGAAATGCTGCCTCTGCTGGTGGCTTTAACACAGGGACAGCTGGGCCACGTCTTCTGCCTGTTGCCAGTGGCTATGTTGCCATCTGGCGGCTGGAAGGAAACGCTGTGGCCTTGAGAATTCAGGGAGGAGTGGGCTTCCGCTGAGCTCCTCCCGCCCGCTCAGAGCCATGCGGGGCCTTCACAAGCATCCTGAGATGAAAGGAAATGACAAGAGTTTCACAGGGATTCAGAGTCAGTGTCAAAACACACGTTTTTTTGACAAGGGAAGATGTTTATGGCAATTTGCTACATGAAAGGCAGATTACAAAGTAGGATATACAGTATAAGCTACTCTAAAAAGCGTTCGGGAGTCCATATTTCTTTGTGTCTGATTGCAGAGGGAAATGTCTGATAGGAAATACACCGAGATGTGAACAGTGTGCGACCAGATCCGATTGTCAAGAGATTCCATGAGAGAACGCAGGTGATGCATGAAGGCCTTTTTTCTGTTTTACTTATTTGTATTTTCTGATACCCTTTCCTGTTGTACATGTATTATAACTTAAGTACCTTAAGAAAAAAGAAGTGGCTGAGCACGGTGGCTCATGCCTGTAATCCCAGCACTTTGGGAGACTGAGGTGTGAGGATTGCTTGAGCTCAGGAGTTTGAGACCAGCCTGGGCAACATAGTGAGACCCCGTCTCGATAAAAACATTAAAAAATTAGCTGGGCATAGTAGTGTGTGCCTGTGGTCCCAGCTACTCGGGAGATTGAGGTGGGAGGATCTCTTGAGGCCAGGAGTTCAAGACCAGCCTTGGCAAGATAGTGAGACCCCCCATCTCTACAAAAAGTAAAAAAAAAAAAAAAAAAGCCAGTTGTGGCGGTACTCGCCTGTGGTTCCAGACTATTTGCGAGGCTGAGGTGGGAAGACCACGTGAGCATGGGAGGTTTCGGTTGCCATGACCACCATTGCACTCCAGCCTAGGCAACAGAGTCAGACCCTGTCTCAAAAGTAGTTAAAATAACAGGGAAGAACGCCAAACGCTCCTGGAGCGGGATGGGTGATGAGTATCATGAACACGATAGAGCAGGTGTCTCTCCGGATCAGTCCACAGCCCAGCAGTCAGCCCTGCCCTCCACTCCAGGCTGCATCTGATCCTGGCTTGGGGCTTTGCCACCAGGTCATCCCGGAACTTTGGGACCCAACCCTCCTGGCTAGGTGGTATTGGGCAAGTTCCTTCGCCTCTCAGTGAGTCACTTTCCCCATGGGGCAATTATGAGTCACACCATAGAGGGTTCTTATGAAGCCTGAGTTGACTTGCAGAGCATTTGCCATTGTGCTGGCACAGTAGACATGATGCGTTCTTGCCAGTCATTATCCAGCAAGTCGCTCACGTTTCAGGGTGTCTTATAATGCGGGATTCACACTAGATCAGCGTGCCTTCCAGTACTGCCCTTGCACTCCCTGTCTCAGAATCATCTAGAAAACCAGCTAAATGCAGATTCCTAGGCCTTGCCCCAACCTACAGAATCATTTTCAAACATCTGCATTGTCAACAAGTCTTCCAGCTGAGCCACAAAATGTTGAGCTCACGGAAGTAAGATTAATTGCTAAGGTCCCTTTCTGCTCAGATAGGGGGTTTTCTGATGACCTGCCCAGCCTCTTGGCCTCTGCTACCAACTTTGTAATGGAAGCCAGGTCTTGACACTGGAAGGTTCTACAGAATCCTAGCCATGGGCCATTCTTAGAAAATCATAGAGCACTATCATGGAAATTCTGTAGCCATTGCATAGTCAGGACACTGAAGACTAGTGAGAAGAGGGCATTTGTTACACAGTCGGCTAGGGATGGAGCCAAGAACACAGTCCTGGTTTCACCATGTTGGCCAGGCTGGTCTCCAACTCCTGACCTTGTGACCCAAGTGCCTCAGCCTCCCAGTGTTGGGATTACAGGTATGAGCCACTGCGCCCGGCCCCTATTAGTTTCTAGGTTGAGAGAAATAGGAAGCAAGGCCATAAACAGGAGAGGTGAGCTGCAGAGGTCTGAGAAGATGTGACACAGGTGTCTAGGGCAACACGTGGCCTGGATCAAGGAGAGGGGATTGTAGGAGATGGTGAGGGCTCAGGAGAGCTGTAGAAACTAGAGAATGGCTGTCTCTCCCCAGCCTGGCTGAGCTCCCTGTGGATAGCAGTGGAGGGTCACCAGGTGGAATGGATGAAGGGGTTGGTGGGTGAACGATGGCCAAGGAGCATCCGCAGTGACAGCTGAGGGGAGGGTTGGGCTGTAGGTGCAGGGAGGCTGAAGAGCTATGGGAGTTAGGATGAGGGAGGAGCCAGAGGAGGCTGAGAGAGAAGAGGACACAGGGAGGAAGGGGAAGGTCCACATTCGTCTGCAGCCATTGTGTTCCAAGTTCACTTCACATGTAGAGCAGGGATAACAGATGCTTACTGAGCCAGCCTGGCAGGACCACAGTGCAGCTGATGGTTGGGGAGCCAGGAAACGCACCTGTGGTGGACTTCAGGGCTGATAGCCTACTCTGCACTGTTCTGTTCTTCTGTGAAAGTCCTCACCTCCTCACTGGTCTCTCGCTGGGTACCTTGTAACTCTGAGTTAGAGCTGCTCATGAGTATACAAGGGTGCTCTCAACACAGCCTTCTGTGCAGGCAGTGCTACCAGCAGACTGCCTGTGATGTGCCACAAGGTTGCCACCTCTTCCCCTCCACAATCTCACCTTCATATTCTTGTGACAGCACCATGGACATATATTTTTGCAAAGGCCGTCAAGCCCGCTGGGAAGGAGAAGTACATATTTAGAAAGCCCATTCAAGGGCCAGGCCCTGGGCAGGTATTTTCAGGTGGATGATCATAACAGTCAAGCCTTGTAAAAATGCTGGAAGATGTTCCTCTCGTACTGTAAAAAAGAAACCCCAGAGAAGATCCTGAGAGGGTGAGCAGCTTGCCCAGGACCTTGCCAGTGAGTGGCAGCCAGGAGTCAGGCTGTTCTGACCACTCAGAAACCCGCTGTACTAGGAGGGCAGGCCGGCAGATGTGGCTCTCATCTTTGCAGGGTGAGTCCTCGCTGCTATTTATTTTTACACTCCTCTAGTCTTTAGATTAATAAAAATGGTAGCGGAAACATATTATATAGAAAAACTTCATTTATTCAAATTAAATTATGGTATGAGTTTCATATACAAATAAATTCTGTGTGAATACTTAGTAAAAAATGCTGCAAATTTCAATCTTGTAAAAATGCAAAAATATTTGTAATATTATACACATATAATTCCTTTAACATGACCAACATGTACAGTAGCTGACACATGCACTCTCTCTCGAGCTGAAGCTGCTGAGACAGCATCAAGCTTTTGGCTTCAGTGACGTCAGCGCTCCCTCCTGCAGCTGCCTCAGTGAGCCAGCAGGCCCTTCTCCCCAAAACCCCAGCTCAAAATGCTTCAGATTATGAGCCATCACCAGGAGGGAACCTAGCTATTCTCTGGCTAGTTAGAAGGAACAGTCATGGGGAAACTGGGTCCTTTTGCAGCCTTTTTATTTTTAAGATGGAGTCTTGCTCTGTCGCCAGGCTGGAGTGCAGTGCCACGATCTTGGCTCACTGCAACCTCTGCCTACCGGGTTTAAATGTTTCTCCTGCCTCAGCCTCCCGAGTAGCTGGAACTACAGGCATGCACCACCATGCCCAGCTAATTTTTGTATTTTTAGTAGAGACAGTGTTTCACCATGTTGACCAGGATGGTCTTTATCTCTTGACCTTGTGATTCACCTGACTTGGCCTCCCAAAGTGCTGGGAACACAGGCGTGAGCCACTGGGCTTGGCCCTCCTGCAGGCTTGATTCCAGGCTGCCAAACTGAGAACAAGCCTCCACTGTCGAGAAGTACAGTCCATCACTGGTCTAACTCATTTTCATTCTGCAGTGTCTTCATCGCTAGCCCCCAGAGAGTCATGCTGGAGAAAAACTGGCCCTCTGAGTTCCTGTAAGTGGTGGAAGATGCTCGACCGCCCAGGGTGTCACTGCAGTGGTTGTCCAAAGCAGCCAGAGAGGAGCGGATCATGGCCATGCCATCCGCCTGCAGTGGTTCGCCACCGGCTGAGGAGTCCACATCTGCGTAAGTGTAGGCCTGAGGCTGTGCTTGTGGCATCTGGGGCTTGGCAAGTTTACCAGGATCCAAACTCAGCTTCTCCTGGTCACTAACTCCATGAGGTTGGATCATGGACCGTAACTTGCAATAGGAGCCGCCAGAGTGGCTGGCAAATTCTGCCACAGAATCTTCCCCTGAGGGGACGGGGAGTTTCACCGACACCGGCATCAGCGTTACGGATGTGTCTTGGGAGAAAGAGTCTGAGCTCTGAGACTTCTCGAGGTCGGAGGTCTCGATGGCTTGGCTGAACTCCTCCAGCACATCCGGGCTCTCGTCCCCAGCTTTGCAGTGCATCTTCTTGTGCCGCCGGAGCACTGCGGAGCGGGTGAAGCACTTGTTACAGATCTCACACGTGTACGGCTTCTCCCCAGTGTGAGTGCGGACATGCCTGCGGAGGTCACCTGATCCCCCAAAACACTTCCCTGGAAAAACAAAAACATGTATTTATTTATTTAAACAGGGTCTCGCTATGTGGCCCAGGCTGGTCTTGAGTTCCTAGCCTCAAACAATCCTCCTTCCTCAGCCTCTCAAGTAGCTGGGACTATAGGCACATGACACCACACTTGGCTAATATATATGTACATTTGGTAGAGATAGGGTATTGCTATGATACCCAGGCTGGAAAAAGATGTTTTTACAGTAGCCATTCTGGAAGGATTTTCCCCTCCGTCCTAAGACACTGAACAACCCTGATCTGAGGAGAGGGGCACACCTCACAGCTCCTGCTCACTCTGGAAGGCTTTCCATTCCTGTGGGAGGTGCTTCTCCAGCTGTGGACCCCTCCAATGAACAGCCTTTGGGTTTTGAGTGTCTCAGTGTGAGACTTTGATTGTCACCGAGTCTCCCTCACACGGGTACCATGGGCACCTGCCAAGCCCAAACCACAGCTCTCCTCATCAGTTTCACTGACATGTTCCTAAATCTAACACAGCCAATCTATAATTTAGAAACATCTTTTCTAAAGGTGTCTGTGTATTCGGGTGTTTTTTTTTTGAGACAGAGTTTCACTCTTTCACCCAGGCTGGAGTGCAGTGCTGTGGTCTCAGCTCACTGCAACCTCTGCCTCTGAGGTTCAAGCAAGTCTCCTGCCTCAGCCTCCTGAGTATTTGGGATTACAGATGCCTGACACCCTGTCTGGCTAATTTTTATATTAATATTTTTAGTAGAAATGCGGTTTTACCATGTTGATCAGGCTGGTCTTGAACTCCTGACCTCAAATTATCTGCCCACCTCAGCCTCCTAAAGTGCTGAGATTACAAGTGTGAGACACCACACCTGGCCTGTATTCAGCTTTTGTTTTTGTTGTTGTTTTTGAGACAGAGTCTTGCTCTGTCGCCCAGGCTAGAGCGCAGAGGTGCAATCTCAGCTCACAGCAACCTCCACTTCCCGGGTTTAAGCAATTCTCATGTCATAGCCTCTCAAATAGCTGGGATTACAAGCATGCAACAACACACCAGGCTAATTTTTGTATTTTCTGTAGAGATGAGGTTTTGCCATGTTGGCCTGGCTGGTCTTAACTCCTGGGCCTTAAGTGATCCACCCACCTCAGCATCCCAAAGTGCTGGGGTTACCGGCATGAGCCAAGGTGCCTGGCCCTGTATTCAGCTTTTAACAAAATTTTATGCATTCCTCTCCAGGATCTATTTCCTTTCTCTGTGAATATGAAAGGTAAGGGATCTAGCTCCACCACTGGAATAGGTAAGATGAGAAATAACTCAGCACATAACCTTACAAAGGCCACAGACTAGCCAAGAATGCGTTGCACAACTTACATGGGTAAATATTTAGAACTTTTCACTTTACATTTCAATTCTCAGCTATCTAGCTGCAGTCAAGCAATGGGCAGGGTATGTTTTTTAAAGTCCTTGAATAATCAAACTGGATGTGAGCTTACATGCACTAAACTTTGGGCACATTTTCCATATAAAAAATACTGTAGGCCAGGTGAGATGGCTCACACCTCTAGTTCCAGCACTCTGGGAGGCTGAGGCGGGGGACCTGCTTGAGCTCAGGAGTTCAAGACCAGCCTGGGCAACATAGTGGGACCTCATCTCTATAAAAAATTAAATAAAAGTTAGTTGGGTGTGGTGGTGCATGTCTGTGGTCCCAGTACTCAGAAGGCTGAGGCGGGAGGATCGCCTGGCTGCAGTGAGCAGTGATCGCACCACCACGACTGCACTCCAGCATGAGCAACAAAGAACCCCGTCTCAGAAAAATTTAAAAAACCAAAACACTGCAGCAACACATCACAGTGACCTTTGCCTTTGTGCTTTCACGTCTGTGTTTTGCCCACAACATCAGGCTCAGGCTCCTTCACACTAGAGTGAAGGCATATTTAGTCTCCATGTTGTCCTCATGGCACACACGTTACTTAGACGTGCGGTATTCTGTGAATTAGAAGCTTCACTGCTACACATGCTGGCTGCTTCCAACTGTTTGCTGCTCTAACATAAGGTTTTTATCTTTCTTTTTTTTTTTTTTGAGATGGAGTCTCACTCTGTTGCCCAGGCCGGAGTGCAGTGGCATGACCTTGGCTCACTGCAACCTCCACATCTTCCAGGTTCAAGTAATTCTTGTGCCTTAGCCTCCCGAGTAGCTGGGACAACAGGCACAAATCACCATGCCTGGCTAATTTTTGTATTTTTAGTAGAGAAAGGGTTTCGCCATGTTGGCCAGGCTGGTCTCAAACTCCTGACCTTAGGTGGGATCCACCAGTCCTGACCTCCCAAAGTGCTGGGATTACAGGCATGAGCCACCACACCAAGCCAAGTTTTTATGTTTCTTTACATTGTTTCTTCATGATAAATTCTCAATAGTTAAATTATTGAACAAGATGGGACAACCACTTTAGCACCACCCTTAATATGTAAAATTTTTAGACGTGATAGAATTCCCACCAAGAAAGGGGAAAATGGGGTTGTCTCTCTTTCATCTCTCAAGTAGAGAGAAACTTGGCTCCACCTGTGTCCTGGTGTGAGGAGGGCACAGAGAAGCGGCATCTACCTCCTGCACAGTAGGTCTAGTGGGGGACAGGCAGGTGGGTGCCACACTGCTGTGGGCCTGCAGGCCCCTGAATCAGGCATGAGTGCTGCCACCCACTGGACAAGACGCATGCTGGAGCTGCTCTGAATCAGCCAGGGAGGATGCCTGGAGGGCAGTGAAAGCCCAGCAAACCCTCCCTATAGTAAGCAGCTAATAAACCCAGGGAGCCAGGAAAGAGGACAGCTGGAGGAACACACATGGCCGCGTGCAGGCCTGCCTCTTGGAAAGTGCAGTGAAATGCTGGGAGATGAGAGGGAAGGCAGACTTGAGAAGAACCATGAAGCCCAGGTGCGCATGAGACAGCGAGAGCGCAAGTCTGCGGATTTTCAACCCTGAAACGCTCAGCACGTGGAGCCCTCTTAACATTGATCTGCCTATAGATCCAAGAAAATGGAAACACACCCCATGCAAGCATCTGGACATGGATATTACAGCTGATTTACTGAGTCCAAGAAGTCGACTACAAAAGACTCCATGTTGTATGAGTCCATGCACAGGAAATGTCTAGAAGTAACAAAGACAGAACCTAGAGGAGTGGCAGCCAGGGGCCAGGGCTGGGAGTGGGGTTGCTACTGGGTATAGGGCTTCCTTCTGGGTGAGGAAAATGTTCTAAAATTAGACCACCGTGAAAGTTATACAACTTCATCAAACTTCCAAAACCCACTGAATTGTTCACTTGAAATTGGTAAGTTTTATGGTATGGGACTATCATCTCAAAGCTGTTAAAAAATTGACCCTGTCACATAACCTTCCTGCTCTCTTCAGCTCTCCAAAGCTGACCTTATCAGGGTGGGAAACCACGGTTAGTAAGGCAGGGAAAGGGCGGAACCCTAAGCGGGGCAGAGAGGTCAGAAGGGCCTACTCTGCTCCCTCCACTGCAGGGTCTGAGCAGCAGCAAGGTCTAGCTGGGGAAGGAGGAGAAAATTTACCTTTAAATCAAGTCCACAGCTGCGATAATTATTTAGAACTGATATTTTAAATTAGTGATTTGAGACTACATTACTGATTCTTTGAGATGAAGGTCTTGTTGTCACCCAGGCAGTGGTGCGACCTCGGCTCACTGCAGCCTCGATCTCACGGGCTTGAGAGATCCTCCAGCTTCAACGTCCCCAGTACCCAGGATTATAGGCACACGCCACCACAGTAGGCTCCTACGTTAGTGATTTCAAGTGATGAAACCTCCCTTTCTAAGAGTCATCAGAATGGTCACGGAGTTGCCTAAATCTGTATCCAGCAGATCTGTGTACAATTTAAATGGAGGGACAGAAACCAAGTTTCCTCTGGTTCTATGGAGAAGTCCTGCTGGTTTCGGATTCCAGTTACAATCAGAATGAGCCCCTCTGAACGGCGCCCTGAATCCAGGCTCCCTAAGCCGGACCCTGCGCTGTTTCTTATTTGGTCTAGACACATCATCATAAAAGGTACTGTCACTCATATTTTTGCCCATGATTCAACAAGCACCTCAACTACTGGTGATGGGTACACACACTCCCTCTTTAGAGGCCATGTGTGTAGGGATCCTGGCTCCAGCACTGTCATCACGGGTCATGAGTTACCTGACCCTGAGTCTCCATATCCTCATCAGAGCAGTCAGATGCCTGAAACCGAGGGCTCCAGCTTTCCACTCTCCTTCCCAGATGCTCAGAACGGAGCATCAAGTGCCCACAAGAATGACCTCTGCTCTGTAAGTTTGGGGTCTAAAGAAGCCCACCCTGACCCCTGGCATGTGCTCCTAATGCTCTGGCGGGACCCCCCTTCTACAGCTCTGGGCCGCTCTCCTTCATGTGCAGCTGCATGTCCTGCTCCCCCCCACTCTCCCAGCCACCCTCCCTCTTCCCATCTGGACCACGAGCCCTCGGCACCTGGGCCTCTGTCTTAGTCACCTTTGTATTGGGAGCATTTAGGACAGTTCCTAATACCTCAAAGACAAGCAGCAAATGCCTGATACACAAGTGAAGGAATGAATGAGAGATCATGTGAGGCAGTAAATAAAACAGCACTACTCATGTTTCACCTCAGAGAAAACCAAGGGCTCATCCCAGACACGACATCAGCTAACGAGGACTGGGGGGGCGAAGCCCTTCCCACTCACGGATGACTAGGGGACAGCCAGAAACCCAAACTCACCGCAGGCAGAGCAGCTGTAAGGCCGCTCCCCCGTGTGCCGAATTCTGTGCTTGACTAACTTCCTTTGCATATTAAAAGACTTTCCACACTCATCACAGGTGAAGACTTTATCAGCCGTGTGTGTCTTTTTGTGCTCCTTCAAATTGCTGAAGTTACTAAACCCTAGAGAGACCATAACAGGTGTTAAGCTGAAGGACAGAGAACATTTTCATCAGAAATCTTCAAGAAAAATAGGAAAACACTCAGCTGTACCTCGACCACAGATGTCACACAAGTGTGGTTTTTCTCCTGAGTGAATAATAATGTGACGCTGGACGTCGCCAGAGGCTGCAAACCTAGAATGTAATTTGAAAATTCAATTAAGAGCCTTTCTACATTACTGTGGGTCTTTCTAACTGTAGCTCACTGAGGAAGGAGATATCGGCTCCTGACACTGTTCAGAGTGATCTGAACTGGATTGGTTTCATTTGAAATGTGCACTGAAAAAAATCCTTTTCTGTCTTTTTAAGGAAAGCAGAACATGATGCAAGTGTCTTGTTTTTAAAGCGTTTTTTTTCTACCTGATTTCATTACACTTTCTTCCTCAGTTTTATAGAGCGCAGATACTCTATGGTTTAGCATCATTGCCTTAGGGGCTAGAAAGAGAGTAAAAAAGGAGTCTCACAGTTCAGAGCCAAGTGCCCCTTCCACCCTTGCAGTTCTGCCAAGGTTCCTGGGGTCTCATGGGAGAGACCCTAGCTGGGTGCTGCCAACCCAAGGAGGATGACTTTGAGAGAGCCTGGAGTGAGTTCTGCCCTGGTCTAGCCAGGTGCAACCCTGGCTCTTTTCACTATAAAATAAAATGCAAACAGGAGCTCAGAGTCTCAGGGACCAAGATGTATGGCCGTCACCCTCCACTGTGAATATCCCCAGAGAATAATAAGCTCTTGTCTTTCTGAGCCACAGCAGAGACTTACCCCTATCAGTTCTAACGTTGAGAACAAGGGAACTAAATGAAGAAAGGGAACCAGCATTCACTGAGCGGGTGCTCTGTGCAGGTGATCAGTTACATGTTTGTTAGTTTGTTTTTTTGACAGTCTCATGTGTTGTCCAGGCTGGAGTGCAATGGTGTGATCTTGGCTCACTGCAATCTCCACTCCCAGGTTCAAGTGATTCTCCTGCCTCAGCCTCCCAAACTGCTAAGATTACAGATGTGAGCCACCGCGTCTGGCCCAGTTTCATGTTTAACAACCATTATCCCACTTAATCATTCCTCAAAACGTCCAGGCAGGCATTTTCACTCCCACTTTCCAGATGGGAAAACCAAGTTCAGAGATGGTTACTAATTTGCCTTAGACAGTAATTCCTACCCAGGCCCTCAGATGCAGAAATCTATATTCTTTACTTTCCACTATGCTTGATAGCAGAGTATGTTATATTTGGACGAAGATGCTGCGTACAGACCTGGTTTTAAACACATGCCTTGGCCAGGCAATGTGGCTCACACCTGTCATCTTAGCACTTTGGGATGCCAAGGTGGGTGGATGACCTGAGGTCAGGAGTTTGAGACAAGCCTGGCCAACATGATGAAACCCTATCTCTACTAAGCATACAAAAATTAACCGGGAGTGGTGGCATGTGCTTGTAATCCCAGCTACTTGGGAGGCTGAGGCAGGAGAATTGCTTGAACCCAGGGGGTGAGGCTGCAGTGAGCAGAGATTATGCCACTAAACTGTAGCCTGGGCAAAAGAGCAAAAACTCCATCTCAAAAATAAATAAAAAATAAGCACATGCCTTACTCTGAAATGGAATTCAGAAGGTTCAGATTTCAAACCCCATGTAAAACAAGACACGCAGTGGCCAGCAGTGAAGTGACACCATCTGAGGCAGCAGGAGGCCTCTGCTCCTCGGCATCTGGAATGGGCAGCGGGCAGCAGATGACACTGGGCCCTGAACTTGGCTTTCAGCATTCAGGTAGCCACAGCAGCAAGGGAGATGTGCTGCCCTCTGCAGCTTCTGTTTGCTTTCTACCATTGGCAGAGACAATGGTTTTCCTGAAACTGAATCTAGAGTCGCTTCCTCCTTGGCTTTCCCCAGCATGTGCTGACACTGAATGTGAGGACTCTGACTTCTAATTCAGCCCATGACTATCTCTTGCCCCAAGACCTAATTCAGCCCATGACTATCTCTTGCCCCAAGATGCTTCAGTATGAATCTGTAAGAGGCAGGCACTCTGTACCATTTATCTTTATTTTTATTTTTGAGATGGAGTCTTGCTCTGTCGCCTGGGCTGGAAGTACAGTGGTGTGATCTTAGCTCACTGCAGCCTCTGCCTCCTGGGTTCCAGCGATTCTCCTGCCTCAGCCTCCTGGGTAGCTGGGATTACAGATGCGCGCCACCACGCCTGGCCAATTTTTGTATTTTTAGTAGAGATGGGGTTTTGCCACACTGGCCAGGCTGGTCTCAAACTCCTGACCTCAGGTGATCCGCCCGCCTCGGCCTCCCAAAGTGCTGGGATTATAGGTATGAGCCACCGCACCCAGCCTGTACTGTTTATTTTTATGGTCCCATATAGCACTTAGCATACAGTAGATATCTAAAAAATGCTGAATCAATGAATGATTAAATAAATGAATGTAAAAGCTACATGCTACATAACCAAGGTGCGTACAGAGCTTCGTGACTAGTATAGTCCCGGCTGATGCCTGGTTCTGGCACAACTACCAGATGATGGAGTACGAGGCCTGACTGACATACAGCCCAAGGGTGGGAAGTAGGGTTCAGGGTGCCACCTGCACACACAGCAGGGAGGAGCTCCTCATTTACACCACAGTGCAGAGAATTCCAGCTGCCACACACTTTATTCCATCTCAAGAATCAGATTCTTTCCCCAGGTCAAAATCCTACCCACCCAGAAAGACTCAGTTCCCTTCTCCCAGGGACGGAACTCTCACAAATTCTTACAGGCCCCCGGCTTGTGGCATCTTCCACCACCTCATTCTCTCCCGAAATCTACTCACTCATCTGGCAAGTCCCATTTTCCCTAGTAGATAGTCACCTCCTTGGGGGCATTAATGTATTATATTTTCAGAGACATTATTTGAATGAATGAAAATTTTAGTATAAAATAATTTTGTTCCACATAAAGCCCCATTTCCTCTTTGGGACTCCTGTCCTAGATTTTCTTTCTTTGAATTAACTTTTCTTTTTAGTATTATCTTATGTGTCACGTGTAAAGCCAGAAGGTTTGAATTTAACCTGTTTTCTGCAGTGGCAGAATGAGCCCACATGTGGCTCATCTGTGAGCCACCGCTTCGGAGGACACTTATTGCCAAAGACACTGAGACTCAACATGCTCCTTCCACACAGAAGAATACGCCCAGCACTGACCTCTTTCCACAGATCTCGCAGATGTATGGTTTGTCACCAGAATGTCGTCGTAAGTGAGTCTGCAAGTTACCTGCCTGCAAAAAGAGGAAAAGAAAAACACACCAATAATGAAAGCTTTTTGTTTTTTAAATTATATACATTCAAAAGGGAAACTGACACATTTAGCCAGGTTTCAATCCAACTTCCAGAAGAAGATGAGATACACACAACTCAAAAGCAGCCATGAGCGAGGGGATCAAGAACAGCCAGAGTGCCTGGTCACCTGCTGCACACGGCCTGCATCTCTACTCCATCCTCCGTGTGAGCCCTTAGCTATGTCCTAGCCCAGGCACGTACTATGCAGTGCTTCCCTCTTACGTAGCACCCTGTGGAGGCTGCTTTGGTGGTCATCAAGCCTGTACTTTAAACAGGACATGATGTATCTTATTTGGGCCATGTATTTGAAACATCATTTAAAACAAACAAAACAGCAGCATACATCCTTATTTCAGTGTTGTTTCTTTCTAAAAAACATGCTTTTGTTCATAGAGAAGGAAAGAGATTTCTCTGGCAAGTACACGTGGTTCTTTTTGGCAGGTTTCTTATCTTCACCTTTGTACAAAAGTGCAAATCAGGAGGATCACAGCAGCCTCTCAGGTGCTGGGCCACTGTGTTTCTAATTTCTGAAACTAGCAAGGCTTTGCCAAGAATAACCCTGAAATGAAGATCATCAGATGGATTTCCATGTACTAATCAATAGGAAATCAATCTTAAATTACCTAAAGTACAGCGAAATTCAAACTGCGAATGCCTCAGATATTATTTTTTAATATAAAAGCTACTTGCTAATGCTTCAAATTAGGATTTGGAAAATCTTCCATTGCTATAATTAAGTTAATAGTCTCAACCTGTTATTTTTCCCCATTTTAATTTTGTATAGTGTTCTGTTGCAAAAAAAAAAAGAAAAAGAAAAAGAAAACGCACTGAAATGAGCTAATATACCCAATGGTAAAAATGAGCTGGCATCATGCACAAGGTAAGCAAAAACCAAGAATACTGGCCAACTAACACATGTGACTTTTTAAATTTGCAAATTGTATTTTAAATAAAATGCAAAGATGAAGATTCACGGTTAAGGTTTGAAGATGAGTTTGATACTGACTTGTGAGTGGAAACTAGAACTCCCAAGTATCAAAAAATGCCACCTGTGGACTATACAACATGGAAGATTCATCATGTCTGTCAAACGCTAGGAAACAGAGGTAGACATTACATTTAAGAATATGATAAATATGGCTTAGAAAAAACTGAGATGTTCAGTTTTTTCCAAAGAGAGTTTGGAAAAACTGGAAAATGTACAGCTTTTAATAGAATGGCTACTAATAAGAATAAAACAAATATCAATGGCAATATACACTTGCTGAACTTCAAATAGGCCTTTATGTGTATTATCAAATTACCCTCTATCCTCCTAAGTTAATAATAGAACGAACACTGTATTCAGATAGACTGTACAAGCACCACTGCATTCAGATGAGTAAAGCAGCTGTCCCAGTTACATGGCTGGGCCAGAAGTCAATACTGGTTGGTGTGAAGCTAAACTCCTCTACTTGTGAGGAAAACTTGAGGATGCACAAGTTTCTAAAATGAAATAGTGTGTTTTGAATATTCAATATGACAGTAACTCTGCCATGTAATGGAGAGTTAAAATAATACCCCAGTTTTAAATTAGGCACTGGCAAAGGTCAGAAAAGGTGATCAGTTGTATAATAATCTGAATAGCACCATCGGCGGAACTGTTAAATTACAGCCTGCTTGTTTTCAGTTACTTTGTAAACTAGGTATGATGACTGAAATGCATTCTGGGTCAATTCTTAGCAATGCTGCATTTTTCCCTTTTAAAAATGGCATAACAATGACTTGTTTTCAAAAGAAATATACTCAAATGATCTTCCATTTAATATTTTAAGTGGTAGGAAAAAAATGTTCTTTACCTATTTTGTACTAGAAATAGATAATGAAAATCATCTTTCTCTCTGATAATGGAATGCATATTTCTGACGAACAATATAAAAGCATGAGCCAGGCAAAATATCCAATAATACATTCAGATAATTTATTCCAGGTTACACAGCAAACTCAGGCCCAGATTATTAGAGCTTTAGTCAAATTTCTTTTTTTGGGGTAAACTTTTGATATATTCTAGTAGTAAGGATATCCTAGGTGCACAGACCATGTCTTAGAAATCATCTATAGTTGTGTCCATAAAAATTCTAGCAAGTGGTAATAATAATAATAATAGCTATCCTTCCTTAAGAACTTGTTATGAATGGAGCTCTTTGCTAAGTATTTAACTTAGTCATCACAATGTCTGGTAAAGCAGTATTACTCACGTTTTACAGAGAAGTCAACAGAGGCTCTGAGAGGTAAGAACCAGCCTCGGGTCATAAAACTGGGATTGAATTCACTAATTCAGGTTTGCCCAATGACTCCAAAGTTTGAACTGTTAACCCGATGTTAAAGTTCCTAGCAGTAAAGGAACTTTGATCCTTTCTAATACCATTTTAACTTCAGATGGAGCTGTTACAATTTTTAACAGAAAAACTCTGCTGTACAGAAGAATTAACATCTGCCTTGAGCAATTTTTATAATAAACTCCTTCTGACAGGTACTTCAACCTCAGTATTTAAACATGAACAAACCCAGCATCTATCATCTATTCCCTAACATGAACACTCTTAACAGCAGCTAAGTGTTTATATTTTAAACAAGTCAGGAATCATAATCATTTAGAGATAAAAGGGATCCCAAATCTTTTCTTTTTTCTATTTTTTTTTTTTTTGAGATGGAGTCTTGCTCTGTCATCCAGGCTAGAGTGCAGTGGCATGACCTCAGCTCACTGCAACCTCCACCTCCCGAGTTCAAGCGATTCTTCTGCCTCAGCCTCCTGGGTAGCTGGGATTACAGGCCCACACCACCACACCTGGTGAATTTTTGTACTTTTAGTAGAGACGAGGTTTCACCATGTTGGTCAGGCTGGTCTTGAACTCCTGACCTCGTGATCCACCTGCCTCGGTCTCCTAAAGTGCTGGGATTACAGGTGTGAGCCACCATGCCCAGCTGGGATCCCAGATCTTAAAAGTCAGCTAGCTCAGGAGTTTACTCTAGATTTTAGGATTTCATGAGGCAAAAAAATTAAAAAGAAAAAAATGTAAGGATTCACAGAGATGTCACTTAAACAATAATTATCCTTTTGATAAAATGACACTTAACAGTAAAAGTGTGGGAAATAGAACCTTAGAGATAAAAATGTAATAGGTTGGGTAAAGCTCATTAATTGTCCTTATTTTTGTGTTTCCACCATGGATGGGTGACATTGTCACCTCTGGCATGAGTCCACATCAGCACCGTGGAAACGCCTCCCATATAGTAATCCTGCAGAAGGCACTAACACCCCCAGACTTCAGCAGACAGCTGGCTAGATAGTGCTGCTGGGAGAGTAGCGTCTCTCAAAACCCATCTCCATACCAGCTGCCCAGTGTTTCTATTTCTACCGGCTTGGAGGAACAAAAACAATACTACTCCTCTCCCAAAAGACAGGGCATTACGCCTCATTTTCCTTCCCGTTTCTCACATGACGAGTGCTCAAAACTTGTCACTCTTTTGGTTTCTCTCCAATGCCCTCCGAACAGTCTGAGTGCTATGCTACAAAGGAAACACTTCCCTCAGTCACACTCTAAAGCATGACATGACTCTTCCTTGCAGAGATCTGGACATATACACCGTCCAGGCTCATGGACAGATGCAGCTGCTGTTGTCACTCTAAGATGATGCTAACTTCCTTATGCTGGCGTGCCATTCTCATTACGTGGGCTGCAGTTAACTTTTTAAAAAAGACTAACACACTAAATACTAAATTCTCAGTAAGCAGGATGAGAGATTCTTATTTGTAAATATTTTTATATAGGAGCAATCCAATTCCCTATAACCATAAACATTCTAGTTCATTACAAGAAAAGAATGTTAGGCATACAGTGGAGGATGGGTGAGCGGGCATCCTCTACTATACATCCCTTTGCAGACAATCTGCTTTCTTGCTCCGGCGTGCCAGGGACACAGGCTTGCCCAGTGCTTGCTCGTCTACAGGGCTCACCTAAGCAATCTCTCAAGCACTTCATGTCCTCATGCTGTCCCAAACACAGCTTTCAGGATATCTACAGGAACAACCGCATTGTTACTGTAGATATCTGTCAGCATTCCCAACATTTCACTGTACTTGATCACTTACAAGTCTGTTTCTTCCTCTAAACAATAAGCACCTGGGCTGGGCGCAGTGGCTCATGCCTATAATCCCAGCACTTTGGGAACCGAGGTGGGTGGATCATGAGGTCAAGAGTTTGAGGCCAGCCTGGCCAATATGGTCTCTACTAAAAATACAAAAATTAGTTGGGCATGCTGGTGAGTGCCTGTAATCCCTGCTACTCAGGAGGCTGAGGGAGAAGAATTGCTTGAACCCAGGAGATAGAGGTTGCAGGGGCCATGATCACACCACTGCACTCCAGCCTGGATGACAGAGCAAGACTCCATCTAAAAAAAAAAAACAAACTAATCTCCTGGAGGCCGTGGCCATTTTTGTCCCCCCTCCCAGCACATGGCAGAGCTCATGGACAGCACATAGACACTGTAGGCTTGCAACAGACATTAAAACAGTTCCTTGTTCACCAAAATCCATACTTTACTATAAAATAAAGCAGCAATATGCATCTGAATACCATCACTATGTATGACTCTACAGTCACAGAAACCTAACAAAAGTACACAGACAAATATGGAAGGGAAGGATTTTTGGATCAAGCAGGGCTACCCATGGTAGGATTGAACAGAGTAAGTCCAGGTCAAGGGCTACAGCAGTGGTTCTCAACCTTGGCTGCACATCAAAATTGCTGAATTTTAAAAAATACCAATACCTGAGCCCCACTCCAAATCACAGAATCAGAATCTCTCATGTGAGCACCAGGCATCCGTGCCAGGAGAGAGGAGTGGAGGCAGCCTGCAGCCTGCCTGAATGTCTGGTTTTAATTTATGGGGTCAGCAATGTCGAGTCAGAGAATGCATTAAAATGATGGAACTTCTGCTCTCATCATAATTTAAATGTATAAAAGGCTTTCAGCCCCAGTTTTTCATTTCATCTTCCCAAGAGTTTGATGAAGTTGTATTATTCCCTATTTTAAAAATTAGAAAAATAAGGCCCAGAGAAGTTGCGATTGCTAATCATTAATGGTTATTAGTCTGAGTCTCACGCTTTTCCCATCAAACTAAAGCTGCTGAGATGAAAATGGTGGGGGCAGGGAGGTGCCTCAGAAAGACCAGAGTCTGAGGATCGTGAGGACAGACAGGACAGAAGAAAGTGGATGGCAACAGGCAGAGAATGCTGGCATTTCCTGAGGGCTTACTGGGTGCCAGGGACTGCTCTACGGACTTGCCCTTATTAGCTCATTACTCCTCATACTCTATGGGGTTAAGTACTCTTGTTATCAGTTTTTCACAGATAAGGAAACTGAAGGGCCAAAAGGTGAGCTTGCCAAAAGTCACAGTGTAGTTAAGCCCTCACAGAGGCAGAGCTCAATTCTAGACTATCCAGCCCCAGAGGCTGAGCTCTGAACCCCAGGCCAGACTGGCAGGAAGAATAGGGGTGGGGTGGCTCATCAAGAATGGCAGCTGGACTGACGAGCACTCGGCGCAGCTCATCAAATCCGTCCTGAACACCTGCTGGCTGCTGGGTGTTCTCCTGGATGGGAAAGAAGACAGAGCCCCAGGCCCAGCCCAGAAAAACTAACCGCCCAGGGGGACACAACCCAACCGAGTACGAGAAGGGAGACACAAGGACTTGGTGAATCCCAGAAGGCAGGGGTCAAAGAGTGGGAGGGTGAAGAGTCATTAAGGTGGCAGGTTTGGGTGTGTGAGAAAAGGAACTGATACCCTCAACAGAGGAAGAGAAAAACTGGAAGAGCCAGCTCTCGGGGGAATGCCAGAAAACACGGTGCCTGCCATTTCCAAGCTCTGTGGGGCCTGCCTCTCAGCCCCCGAGGCACGCACTGCTGCCACAGGATCTACCATGCTCTGTGCGAGACAGTCGTGCCAGTGCCGTGCCCTGAAGAACTGCGTCCTCACGCCCTGGAGCAGCTTCTGTCTGATTTACCTCAGCAAGCCCAGGGCGACACACATGGCGGTGAATAGTTACCTTCTGTTTCAGAGAGAAAGTAGGTTCCTGCAAGCCATTTTCTGTGAAACGTTAGGTTCCATGCCCAGCGCAGTAGCTGGCCCATGGGAGGGTCTAACAAACGCTTGCTGAAGGAGTAAAAGACCACGTGTCCAAATGACCTCGGTGGAGGTCAGCTAAAGGCAGCAGTCAAAACAGGCCACAAAACTGGTTTCACCTTTTTCCCAACATCCTGCAATCTACAGTCCCAACAAGAATAAGGAGATTACTTGTCTTCGGCCTATGCCAGCACAATGTGTAGCCTCCAGGTACACCAAGCTCAAGGTTGTTTACTGACCTTCATTCGTGAAATGGAAGACATATACTAAGTTCGGACTCATCCTTAGTGAGGGAAAAAAGTACTCTAAGAATGCACACATGAAAAGTGCTATTTTTCTCCCAAAGAACTAGAAATCTGTTTTCTTGAAAAGGATTTTTCCTGGTTTATTCTGAAGTCTTTAAGTTACAGATATCATCAGAGGCTGTACAAAAGTATGTCTCATTTCCAATAAAAACACTGTTTCAGGTTTCCAATTATTAACAATAAATAAGAGTATTCCCACCTGAGAGAAATGTTTCCCACAAATGTTACATTCAAAAGGTTTCTCACCTAAAACAAAACAAAACAACTTGTAAAATCATTACTAAAATTTCTTCATCAGTTTTTGTTTAAATGACCTCCTATGTACTAACTGTCAAAATGACATTACATTCTGCATCGTTAACAGTATGAAAATGGGGGGTGTCCACTTCCTTAGAGTTCTCTCTTGCCTCTATTTCTGCACAGAGATGACAAAAGTTATATATATATATAGAGTCAGAGTCCTGCTCTGTCGCCCAGGCTGGAGTGCAGTGGTGTGATCTCCGCTCACTGCAAACTCTGCCTCCCGGGTTCAAGCAATTCTCCCACCTCAGCCTCCCAAGTAGCTGGGATTATAGGTGCCTGCCACCACACTGGATAATTTCTGCATTTTTAGTAGAGATGGAGTTTTACCATGTTGGCCAGGCTGGTCTTGAACTCTTGACCTCAAGTGATTCCCCTGCCTCAGCCTCCCAAAGTGCTGGGATTATAGGTGTGAGTCATCGTGCCTGGCCAAAATCTTTATTTTCCTCTAAGATATTAAACAGTTCTCCAGACAGAACCTATGTTAAAATCAAATGTATTTATCTGCATCAAAGCAGACCCCCGTTCTGGAAGTGGTCTTTTCCTGTGGTCAAGATGAGTTTTCCTGCTGAGCAGCATGCTCCTGCTCACTTGTTCTTCAGCCTGATGTCACCCAACCACCAATTCCTAACAGACACAGGGTCGCTCGTTCACACCACACCAGGTGTGAACACAGAGAACCCCAAACAGAATGGGACCTCCTGAAGCATGAGTATGACAGGGAAAGAGTCCCTTGCTGCAGTCTTCCTGCCTTGGTTGCTCAAGGAAGAAAGGAAGATTTCATTATGGGAGATGTGCTCCTCTGCCGACTTCTTTATCACCTCTAATTTCGGTAACCGAATAACTGCACTTGGGGATAGAAAAGATTGTAAGAATGGTACTCTACTACAGAAAAACCACAGCTGTAGGCTGGGCACAGGGGCTCATGCCTATAATCCCAGCACTTTGGGAGGCTGAGGCAGGCGGTTCACAAGGTCAGGAGTTAGAGACCAGCCTGACCATCATGCTGAAACCCTGTTTCTACGAAAAATACAAAAATTAGCCGGGCGTGGTGGTGCGCACCTGTAGTCCCAGGTACTCAGAAGGCTGAGGCAGGAGAATCGCCTGAAGCAGGTACTCAGAAGGCTTGAGGCAGGAGGCGGAGGCTGCAGTGAACCAAGATCGCACCACTGCAGCCTGGGTAACGAGCGAAACTCCGTCTCAAAAAACAAAACCAAAATCAAAAACACAGCTGTTCTGAAATGTGGTCTATAGAAAATGATCTGAATTTAAAAGCACACCTAATGGTACTGCCTTTGATCTGATTAAATATAACCCTAATGAATAGACTTTGAACACCGAGAACCTTTCATTTTCCCCATTTCCCTCAAATCAAATGGTTTCATTAAGATCTTCTTTAAAAAGTAACAACAATGATTTCCCTTCCTACTATATTATTTGGGCTTGCTGCCTTGAAGAAAGCAGCTTGCTCACTTTCTGGGCTCATTCTAGAAAATATATATACACACACACACACGCACATATATATACATATGCACATTTATATGTGTATATATATATATACATATATATGTATATACACACAGATATATGAATATATATACACATATATATGTATATACACACACATACATATACATATACACACAGACACACACGCACATACACGCACACACATATATATATATTTTTGAGATGGAGTCTCACTCTTGTCTCCCAGGCTGAAGTGCGTGGCATGATCTCAGCTCACTGCAGCCTCCGCTTCTCAAGCTCAAGTGAGTCTCCTGCCACAGCCTCCCAAGTAGCTGGGATTACAGGTGGGATTACAGGTGTCCATCACCATGCTCGGCTAATTTTTATATTTTTAGTAGAGACGAGGTTTCACCATGTGGGTCAGGCTGGTTTTTAACTCCTGACTTCAAATGATACGCCCACTTCGGCTTCCCAAAGTGCCGGGATTACAGGTGTGAGCCACTGTGCCTGGCTAGATATTTTTATTTTATCCTGAAAATGTCTAATGGCTTCCTCAACCCAGAATAATTATATTTATATTAATATATTAATAATTATATTAATTCTGTACTCTAATAAATGAAACTGCATTTATGTCTGAAATTATTGGGGGTGACAGATAATAAGTTGAAGCCCCATAAGAGACATAAGAATTTGAAAAGAGAGAGGTTACCAGTTACTAAAACTATAAATGACCAAGGTTAACAATTCTACTCCAGTGAGCCTCAGACTTTTTGGCCTCAGGACCCCTTCACACTCTTAAAATTGAGGTCCTAAAAAGCTTTTGTTACTATGAGCTATAGCCCATATTAACTATATCTATAGCTATATCTATATAATTGATATCTACCATATTAGAAATGAAAACAGAGTCATCTTTAGAACAGATACATACACACTTCACTGGCCATCAAGGTGAGGACTTCATCACACACCATGTAGCCTTGGGCGGACTAAATGTACACTCATGAGAGGAGGAAAAAACAAGTAACATCTTAGACTATTTTGAAAATAGTGTGGGCTGGGCATGGTGGCTCATGCCTATAATCCCAGAACTTTGGGAGGGCGGATCACCTGAGGTCAAGAGTTCGAGACCAGCCTGGCCAACATAGTGAAACCCCATCTTCACTAAAAATACAAAAATTAGCTGGGCATGTTGGCACATGCCTATAATCCCAGCTTCTTGGGAGGCTGAGGCAGGAGAATTGCTTGAACCTGGGAGGTTGCTGTAAGCTAAGATTGCACCACTGCACTCCAGTCTGGGTAAGAGCAAAACATTGTCTCAAAAACAAAACAAAACAAAAGACTGTTGGCCTCACAGACCCCCAAAAGGGTTCCCTAGACCATACTTTGAGAATCACTGCTTTTCTCAGTAGAGTATTTATGTCCCTGTAAGCATCTTTGCCATGACTGTCTCTGTCATTCAAAGAGGTTCTCCCAGAATAAACAATTTTTGATTCCTTTAAAAGCTAAGCAGTTAAGTTTCACAAAAATAAAAAATTACAGCCATCAGGCCAAGCATGGTGGCTCACGCCTGTAGTCCCAGCACTTTGGGAGGCTGAGGTAAGCAGATCACTTGAGGTTAGGAGTTTGAGATGAGCCTGACCAAAGGGCAAAACCCCATCTATACTAAATATACAAAAAAAAAAAAAAAATTAGCTGAGCTTGGTGGCACATGCCTATAGTCCCAGTTACTCGGGAGGCTGATGCAGGAGAATTGCCTGAATCCAGGAAGTGGAGGTTGCAGTGAGCCGAGATCGTGCCACTACACTCCAGCCTGGGTGACAGAGTGAAACTATGTCACAAACACACACAAAAAAAACTGCAATAATCATTAGGCTGTAGGAGATTTAGGCAAAACAGAATGATCTAACGTTTTTTCAGGGCAAAACTAAGTCTACGATAATGCCTTCACATGGAATAATTTTGAACTGCTAGTGATAACAACAGTACTTTATATTTAAATGCACTAAAATGTATCAAGGACTTTCATAATTATTAATGAAATTTCCCAATAATACAAGGTGGCAAACACCTATGCAAATTGGGAATCCATAGTGATAACAGAAGGTCACATCAACAAACACAATTATACATACACCTGAAAAGCAGTTGCTGTGGAAGCATCTTGTATGTTACTTCCCATGCCTATAAGGTAATTGTTCATCTGTAATGTGTTATTAAACTCATGTTTAATTATAGGAAGAAAAGTAATATATATGTATTGTATAACTAATGTATATATCTATATATATTGTATACCTTAAAAAAACTTTTGGGAAAGAGAAAGAGGCATGAATTACGATAATAAACCTTTGAAATTTCAATGTTTAAATTAGAAGAATTTTCATTTGAGAATATTAAATGGTTAAAGCTGATTCTTATTAAAAAGTTTACCTCCTGCCTCCCAAATCAGAATTTTACAAATTAGATACTCAAATTCCTTCCACGAGAACTTTCAGAATTATTCAAAGTAAATTATGTTAGTCTAAATTGATCTATATTATGCTTTCAAAAAATAAGCTTAATCTAATTCTAAAAAGGCAACTAAATATAGCATATCCATTTTAGAATTAATTCGAAATTCTGAGTGCACCAAAATTACTATACTTCTTTAGAGACAGATGGTTTGTCACATAAAAACTTGAAATAAAAATTAAAAGTGTATACCTTTCTAAAGTGGCTCTATAAAACCACTTACAAACTTTAAGTCAGATGCATCAACAAAAGTATAAAACAAAAAGTAGCTAATGCCCCTTATTTTGTTTAAAAATATGATGACATAAAGCAATAGCAAAACTTCTTACAAAAACAAGAAGAACTAGTGGTGTCTGAACATCTGCATTACATCCTTCCCTTCTGCCTGTGGATACTGAATCAGTGTACCTGTATGAGACCGTTTATGAAGCTCCAAGTTGCTTGGGTGTTTAAAAGGTTTCCCACATAATTCACAGGCATATTGTCTCTGGGACTGAAGTGCATGGGACTGGTCTTCCAGTGCTGCCGGGTCTTCGGGCCGCTCCGTCTCACTAATGCAATGATAATTCTCACCACTGACGGGTTCTTCACTTGCTTTTTCTTCAGTACGTTGGCTGCTAGTTTTCTCTAGAGTATTTTCACTAGCAGATTCGACCCTCTTTGTTAAACCATCATCCGACTTGGGTTCAGATGTTTGCTCTGCGGATTTCTGTGACTTCAGGAAATTGAGTTTCTTCAGATGAATGGCCTTTTTGAGCCTCATCTGCTTGACAGGTTGTTGGCATATGGCGTCGGACTCAGGGTCTGGGGCAGAGTCATTCACAGGCTGGGCCAGGAAGTTGGAAGGCAAGTGCTCGGAAGACTCCAGGATGCATTCGGCATGACTGACAGCACAAGGCTGGCTTTCTACCGTGGTAAGATCTACGGAGGTGCTGAAAGCACCAGGCTGCTCAACGACTCGCTCCTGACTGGGACAAGCTGCGTGTTTATGGTACTGCTTACTGTAAAAGTTTCTGAGTTTGTAATAGTGACTTGGCTGTTTAAAAGGCAGGTCTGTGCAGGTGCCGTCTGAAGTATCAGGGGCTTGTTTTGATATTTCACCTGTGGAGTGATGAAGATTCACTGAGGGTGAAGCATGTGAATGCGATTCATCCAACCCCTTATTATGCTGTGTGTCTGCCGAACATTCCGGCAGTAAATGAGGGGGGTAGTTGTTTTCACTGTTAACACAAGTGGCATCGGGGGTCAGGGTGCTTTGCAGAGACAATGTACTATTACTAGGCACGCCAGGTGGCTGTTCTACAGTGGCTGATTTTAAAAATGTGTGACACAGACTCAGAACGTTTTGAACTTGCAAACACTGTGCTGTGTCCAGCATTACTTGTATATTGTCCTGGTTAAGCTCTAAATGAGAAGTATACATGAAGTCCAGGATCTGCCCTATGCCACTGACGTTTTTAATATTCAAGTGAAAGACATCATTCTTCTGGCTTGAAGAATTCTGAAAGAGGCTCCTGATAAAAGAAAGAATATCTGTTTACAGTGTCAAAAATTCATAGCATCTTTTTCTTATAAATAACATTCATATATTAATATCAAAACATACTATCCTATGAATGTGAAGACTTTTAACACAAGTATGTTTTAATCCTTTAAAACAATTTAGCAAACCATCCAACTAAATAATTCAGATGAATTAAATTAGTGGATTGGGTATTCAAACTTCAAATATATCTCAAAGGAAATTTTTGAAATATACTCAATTTTACAAATTAAAAAAAATTACATACAGTAGTATGACTGATAAACCATGAATCAAGAAGATTCTAAGATAATTCCCAATATGACCTACTTAAGAAATAAAAGATTGCTCTAAATATTTTTTCGAAATGTAATTATCCATAAAAATATGACAAAATATGTCAATTACATACTAATAGAGTATATAAAACTAAAGAATATACAGTTCTCAATATTTCATAGTCTGACAAGTATTATATTTTAGGCCACAAACCATATAAACAAATATTTCTACATCCAAGTGCCAAGAAAACTTAAAATAAAATAGCTAGAATAAACCAACCCTCCACATACATTCCTTTGTAACCAGTACTTTTTTTGGCTGTTAAGTTTTTCAGCAAGGCCAGGGGCTCAAAAACCAACAGTGAGAAAAACCCTAAGAGTTAATGAAGAACAAAAGGCACTCTAAAGCCCAGGCACTTTATTCTGGATACAAGCCATGGTCACAGGTGAACAAATCTGTATTATGTATGAAATAATAAGCTCAGGTATGTAAACTGAAAATATTTTGTCAAATATAGTCACCAATTTCCCCTAAACAGCCTCCAGTTCTGTTTCTAAGTGCAAAACAGCCTGTATATCACGATATCAAATTTTAATTGTCCTGAGAAGACAGAAAAAAGCAGATGATAGCAAACCCAAGAGTTTGGGACCATTTTGCACAGGAAAAAAACCTGCTATCTACCTCAAGAAGCTGACGCACTACAATGTGTAATGTGGCCTATACAATAACTGAGACTTAATTTGTATGATTCAGAATTATCAAGGGAAGAGCAAATCACGTCCCACGTTGTCTACTAAAGCGGTAAAACCATATGCATTTTGGAAACAAAAAGTACTTTAAAAAAGAGACTTTGTATTTAAAGACAGATAAATCTGCTAACTACAAAATGAACTTATGCAGAATCACTTAACTCTAACTATTTTTTTTAAAGAGACAGAGTCTTGCTCTGTTGCTCAGGCTGGAGTACAGTGGCACGATCACGGCTCACTGCAGCCTCCATCTCCTGGGATCCTTCCATCTCAGCCTCCTGAGTAGCTGGCAATACAGAATAATGTTGAAATAAGCTGAAAAACAACTTCTTGGTATTATTATTTATAAATAAATATTTCATATAAGCCAAAATGCTAATAAGGTTTTTGTAGAATATTCCAATGAGAAACAAAAGCTAAAATGCTTTAATTAAGAAAAAAAAGAAAAACACAGTACACAGAATATGTTTTTCCCTCTCTGATTTCTTATCACAGAAAAATTCTAACCAGGAACTTAATTCCTCCATCATTTTATGTTGCAAGGATGAGAAATATATGTAGAAGACTGACAACCAGAATTATTAAAATGAAAGACAAAGAGCCAACATACTTTCAATCACCCCAAATTCATTTTCATTAAATGCCTCTTTTCTTTTCAGGTTATTCTAAACACAAAAGCAAAAATAATAAAAATGATTAAAAAACTTAAAAATTAAAACAAAAAACTCTTACAAAATCCAATGTGTTATAAAAAGATAAAGATAGTGAAACCCAAGGAGAAGAAAATATGGTCAAAATACTTCCACACTAGAAGAGCTTTACCCTTAATTCGCAGCTGGGAGTATGAAGTCTAAAATACCTACCTAAAATACTGGCTGAATGCTGCTAGCACATTCTTATGTGCTTTAAAGCAGACTCCTTTTACCACCAACATACAGTCACAAAGCAGGCCTTGGATTCGCTGCTCATGCAGTTGTTGGAGGAGATGGCAGCTGTGGGTAGCAACTGGGTCCATGCTCAACCATTCAAGAGACCTACAGCAAAAAATCACAAATATGACAGATATTCTCAAGGACCTCACTGGAAACTAAATGGCAGTGAAACTCACTGATTGATCTATGCTTCACTCTCCCATCGCAGTTTCACACATACACACGTGCGCGCACGCGCGCACACACACACACACACACACTCTGTTTCTGAGGCATCTAGACCAGTGCTGTTCAACAGAATTATCTGTCACAATGGAAATGATCTCTATATGCACTGCTCAATACAGTAGCCACTGGCTACACATGGCCACTGAGCACTTGAAATGTGGCTGAGGGACTGAAATTCTAATTTAATTTATACTTTAAAAGCCACAATATTTAAACAGTACAAATCTAGAATATGACCATGCCAATACTATATGTACTTCTCTTGTGTCTACTAAGGAATACGTCAAATGAAAAATAAAATAATATACACATATATAAAGAAGTATAAGGTGAAAGAAAAGCCAGCTGGCTGAGATCAAATCCATATTTATCCAACATGTGTACAGAGGTCACTGAATTAGAAGCTGGGAAAATTAGGAGCCTACTTTGGGAGATAAGGTACAGGTCAAAATACCTACCACCACCAGACAATGATATAAGAGGCATTACAAAGCAGCAGGTCTCCTCACTCGTGCCCTTGTGCTTCTCTAAGGCACTACTTGAGCAGACGCCTGAAGGAAGGGAAGGAGCTGTGCAGGCACCTGGGCCAGAGAGAACAGCAAGCCCCAAGTCTCTGAGGCAGGAGCTTGCTGGGCTCAGGTGTGGCTGAGTGAGTGGTAAGAGACAACGTACTAGAGGGGACACAGGGTCAGGTCATGCCCAGCTTGCAGGCCCTGTTATGAACCCTGACTCTGACTCCAAATGAGATGGGACGCTGGAAGTTTCACCATTCAGCATCTAGCCACCAACTGACTACTGTGTGCCAGGCTCTAGGGCTACAACAGTGCACCAAACTCTCCAGGTCGCCATTCTCACGCAGCTTAAACTGTAGTGAGGGAAACACACACAAAAGTGCATGACACACGACTAAACTAAAGAGTTACAAGCTAGTACTGGAATACTCAGACCAGAAAGCCATGGTCTCGGATGCCTTAGGAGCAGGGGATGATTTATGGAAGAGAAATAGTCAGAAGAAATGGAGTCAGATTGGGACAAGATTATGAAGGTTAAGGTGGCAGTCTGCACTGGGCATGGTGATTCACACCTGTAATTCCAACACTTTGGGAGGTTGAGGCAGGAGGATCATTTGAGTACAGGAGATCAGTCTGGAAACATAGTGAGACCCTGTCTCTATGAAAAATAAAAACAAAAATTAGCTGGGCATGGTGGCATATGCCTGTAGTCCCAGCTACTTGAGAGGCTGAGGTGGGAGGATTACTTGAGCCCAGGAGGTTGAGGCTATAGTGAGCCATGATCACACCACTGCCCTCCAGCCTGGGTGACAGAGAGAGACCCCATCTCAAAAAACAAACAAACAAAAAAAAGGCAGTCTGGTACTAAAAATCTAAAAAGCCATCATCTGCTTTCTTTGCCTTCATTCTCCGTACTTGAAGCACTGCTGAATCGCTAAAGCCCAAATCTAAGCTTTTCAATACACCTTCTCACTTAGACGGATCTCCCATTACTCCAAGTATGTGCCAGCCAAAATGAACCACCAGTGGCTCCCCAAATCAGCTATGTTCTTGGCCAGTGGGCTGGAGACCTAGTTCCACCACTCACTGGCTATATGACTTTGGGCAAATGACTTCTCTGTCCTCACCCTATCTCACAGGTTATTGCAGTTACCTGTGTTAACATTTAGTCTAGTATCTGGCATGTGGAAGGATTCTATACGTGTTATCTCTAAGAATCACTTGGGAGCTTCTTAAAAATGCAGACTCCTGGGTACATCCCAGGGTTTGTTCTGTCGGTCTCTGGTGGAGCCTGGTGTCTGCATCACAGGCATTCCAGTGACTCTGAGCAGGTGGGCTGCAGATCTCTTCCTGTGCTCTCCTCCAAAAGCCTTTGGTTCTGTCCCAGGAATACTTTACTCATACCTGCCCCTCCCATCTTCCAGATCAGGGCTCAGCTGAGCTTTCACCTACTTTCCCACCATTCTTTTTTTTTTTTTTTGAAACAGGATCTAGCTCTGCCATCCAGCTGGGCTCAGGAGATCCTCCCGCCACAGCTGGGACTACAGGTGTACACCACCATACCTGGCTAATTAAAAAAAAATTTTGGCAAAGATGGGATTTTGCCATGCTGCCCAGGCTGGCCTTGAACTCCTAGGATTAAGCAATCTGCCCACCTCGGCCTCCCAAAGTGCTGGGATTACAGGCCTGAGCCACCGCGCCCTGCGTTTGGGGTTGCTCCTCTGTGATCTTCCCAGTGTCTTCATTCCCACCACATCTCTTTCCCTCACTCATAAAAATATAATGACTGCAATGTTAACTTCACTAAGAAGGTTGAAACCGGCCAGGCGTGGTGGCTTACAGCTGTAATCCCAGTACTTTGGGAGGCCAAGGTGGGCAGATCACCTGAGGTCAGGAGTTCGAGACCAGCTTGGCCAACACAGTGAAAACCTGTTTCTACAAAAAACACAAAAATTAGCCAGGTATGATGGCAAGGGCCTATAATCCCAGCTACTGGGGAGGCTGAGGTGGGCAATTTGCTTGAACCTGGGAGGAGGAGGTTGTAGTGAGCAGAGATTGTGGCATTGCACTCCAGGTAGGCAGCAAAGCAAGACTCTGTCTCAAAAAATAAAAATAAATAACGTAAAATAAAAGAAGGTTGAACCCACTTGGTAACCACAGTGCCTTAAATTTTACTCAGTTCCAAATTTCCCACTCAGCCCTGCCTCATGCCTTAGGCTTTATGGGATGAAATGTGCCTCCTCCTTCTTCCTAAGGTGAACTCCCTCGCCCCTTCACCCTTCCTGCCTCTGCTAGGACCTGGTTCCATCAATGAAGCTTTCTTCACCCTATCCTTCACTGGTTCACTGGTTCCTCCAAACACACACATCGAGATTGCCCCATGTTGAAGACAAAGCAAAACAGGGTAACAATAAAGCCTTCCCTCTAGGTTCCTCTTGTCATCACAGGCCTCTCTTTTACACTTTTCAAAATAGCTATCTACACACCCCACTTTACTTTCTCACGACTCCTTTTTCACCTTGTGTATTAGTCCATTTTCATACTGCTGATAAGGACATACCTGAGACTGGGTAATTTACAAAAGAAACAGGTTTATTAGACTTACAGTTTCACATGGCTGGGGAGGCCTCACAATCTTGGGGGAAGGTGAAAGGCAAGGAGGGGCAAGTCATATCTTACATGGATGGCAGCAGGCAAAGAGAGCTTCTGCAGGGAAATTCCCTTTTTAAAACCATCAAATCTCGTGAGACTCATTCACTATCATACCATTATGAGAACAGCTCAGGAAAGGCCCACCCCCACCAGGTTAACTACCACCAGGTTCCTCCCACGACACGTGGTGATTGTGGGAGTTATAATTCAAGATGAGTTTTGGGTGGGGACACAGCCAAACCATATCATTTTGCAACCTTGCTTCCACTCTCTCTGCTGAAACAGACTTTCCCCACAACGACCTTTCCTCAGACCCCAACCATCCTCTCCATCTTTCCTGCCACACATGGCAGTGTTGTCTGCCAACTCCCATCCTGAAATCTCTCTTTTCCCAGAAATCTTCTGGTTCTTTTCCTATGTCCCTGATCTGTCCCATCCCCATGCTGTGCCTGTCTCCCTTGAGCCTTGCAAACATTGATGTTCCTTAAGGTGCAGCATGGTAGCCCTCTCCTCTTTCCCTTGGCAATCACCTTCATTCTTAGCTTTCACATGTTCTAACACAGCTCCTAAATGTGAAACTTTCGCTTCAGCTACCAGTTCCAATCTCCCACTACCTGCTAAATTTCTTCAATGGCATGCCCCTTCAACTTAGAATCTCTAAACTTCATCCCCCCATCACCTCACCTATCAACTCTAGACCTTGATTCCCCTCAGCTCTTCATGGAAAGCTTTGTTTGGGGTATTGGCATGATCTCCTGGTTTGAGATCACCGTGAGATTCAGAGAAAACTGGGACAAAGAGCAACACTGAGGTACTGGGATGGCTAATGCCGCCCCAAACAAGAGTATAGAAAGAAAGGCAATGATGGTAGGTGGTAGACACTGTTCCCAGTGCTGAATCCTCAAGGATAGTGAACAGCCACATGAGTAATCAGTTACTCTTCACACCGTGCTGCTTGCTTGAAAAGGCTTCCAAGTTTATCATTCCTTTTAGCTATCACTTACTGACTACTTACCGCAGATCTGTGCTAAGCATGTCATATCTGATATGGTTTGGCTTTGTGTTCTCACCCAAACCGTAATCCCCATATGTCCAGGGAGGGACCTGGTGGGAGGCAACTGGATCATGGGAGCAGTTTCCTCCATGCTGTTCTTGTGACAGTGAATGAGTTGTCACCAGATCTGATGGTTTAAAAATGTCTGGCAGTCCCCACTCCCCTCCACCCAGTTCTCTCTCCCCTGCTGCAATGTAAGATATGCCTGGTTTCCCCTTCGCCTTCTGCCATGATTGTAAGTTTCCTGAGGCCTCTTCAGTGATGTGGAACTGTGAGTCAATTAAATCTCCTTCCTTCGTAAATTACCCACTCTCAGGTAGTATCCTTATATCAGTGTGAAAATGGATTAATACAATATCCATTAACTGAAACAATTCTACAAGAACCGAATTACCATCATTTACAAGAGAAACAATTGAGATATGGAGAGTTTAAGTCATTTATCCAAAATCATACAACTATTATGTGCCAAAGTCAAGATTTGAATCCTGGTCCCTAAACACTGGAGTGTATGCTTTATCTCCCACGGGAATAAAGACATTTTACACACACACACGAAACCCTCCTCCATGGACCTAACTGTTAAAATTAGGTAAAACTGTCTAATTATATAAATGTAAATGTCTAGGTAATTTAGGTAGAGGTCTAATTAGAAAATTAGACATTTTCTAGCTCTATAGAAGTGATAAAGAAAAGTTCTTTGGAATGACCCCCAGAGATATGATGCTATGCAGTGGTGAACTGTTACACATTGACTTTTACTATAAGAATTATAGGCTGGGTGCAGAGGTTCACACTTGTAATCCCACCACTTTGGGAGGCCAAGGCAGGAGGATCACTTAAGGCATGGAGTTCAAGACCAGTCTGGCCATCATAATGAAACCCTGTCTCCACTAAAAATACAAAAATCAGCCAGGCATGATGGCTCACGCCTGTAATCTGAACTACTCAGAAGACAGAGGCACAAGAATTGCTTGAACCTGGGAGGAGGTTGAGGTGAGCTGAGATCAAGCCACTGCACTCCAGCCTGGGCAACACAGCAAGACTCTGTCTCAAAAAAAAATTATAACTATTTCATATCATTTTGTATAGTTCTCTAAATAACTTCATGATGTCAATCCTGTACCTCCCCAATACAGTTATAAAAAGGTCTGGGGGAAAAAAACCCTGTATCTTATATTTCTCATGTGTTCTGTAAATTATAACTATAAACAAAAATGTATCTTATACCTAATAATAACGATTATGACAAATACCTACATTTTCTAGATGCCAGGCACTATATTCTAAGCCCTCTACACTTAGGAATTCATTTATTGTAAGACAGGTACTACTATTATCCACATTTTACAGGTGAGAACAACGAGGAAGTTGGTAGATTTCAGACAGACACAAATTCTCTCATGCTTCTCCCATGGGGTGGTGGAGTCTAGGTCTCCTTCCCTTGAATCTGTGCAGGCTCTGCCTTAATCAGATTCTGTGCTTATAAAGCTGTGCTCATTTCCCAGGCCCAGGCCTGAAGAACTAACAGCTTCCACTTCCCATCTTTTGGAACACCAGCTATGGAAGGCCTGAGCCACCTGTAAGATGCCCAACTAGACAAAATGCATGGAGGCAGAGAAGGGTTCAGGGGCTCCCAGAGAAGCCATCCTGACCTCACCAGGCTAGGCTCTCCTCCAGCGGAATGCCACTGAGTGATCCCAGTTGCCACCACATAGAATTGAAGAATTTCCCAGGTGACACCTGCCTGAATGCCTAACCCACAGAATTATGAGATAAAATAGTTTTTAAGTCACCAAATTTGGGGATAGTGTGTTACATAGCAATAGAAAACCTGACCATGTATAGAGAAGATGGTCACACAGCTAAAAAGTAATAGGTAAGCAATAAGGGACAGAGGTGGGATTCAAAGCCAGGGAATCTGACACCAAAGCCACACTCATCCACTGCTTCCTTTGATCGGAATCAGCTGCCTCTTCAGTCTACTGCCTAAGCCTGATTGTCCAGGTAATCCCACAGACAAGCGCCGTATTAAGGGACTGTACAATTCATGACTAACGTGTGCTACACAAGGTGTTGTAGTGTGACAGGAGGAGCACAGGGTTCTCTTCCATCGTTGCAGCTAACTCACCTGGTGACAAGCAGCAAAGATTTTCTGTGGTGAAGACATGGACTCCACCTGTCTTACTGAACAATGTATCTCTGGTACCTACCAGAGGTGTCTTTGACATAGTAGGCACTCAATACATATTTCTGAATGGATCAGACTCTCGGCCTCAGTTTTTCATCCATAACAATGGAGGAGTCCCCCACTGGACTAGATGAGCTCTAAGGTTTCTTCTTGTTCTAAAAGCTACAAATCTCAAGGAATGTGATGGTGGAAAGATGGTATGAATGGCAACAAATGAAAATATGGGGGGAAAAGAAACAAGAAAAGGCTTCCATCAATGTGAATGAAGAAATGCTTCTAAAGGAAACAAGAGCCAGAATGGAGTTTCAACCTGCAGAGAAGACTCCTAGAGCAGAGGCACCTCAATTCTATCAACAGGTCAAATACTACTGGATAGAATTTGTGGATGTTTTCTCAGCTGAGCCATTAATAGATGACTTCTTCAGGGGCCCACAGCTCACACACCTTATTACCAAGCTTACCTTAGAGGGCTCCTAAGGAGTCTGCCCATCAACATACTTTCCAAATGGCTTACTCATAGCCCCTCACCTCCACCCCACTCAGAAAAGCACTGGCTTGAAGCAAACAAACATGGAGTCTTGTCTTAGCTTTATACTGAATCTTATCATACCGGGAAGGCCAATTCAGTTAAACAGATATTCTGTGCCTAATAAGTACAACAAATTGTCGAGAGGACTGAATGCTGACAAATGGAACAAGATGATTCCCTGCCTGTGCCTCAGTTTTCGATCATTCACCTAATTTTACAGAGTGCCCATTATACTCTAGGCACTGAAGGTACAATGGCAAACACATCAGACATGGTCATCCGTGTCTTCACGAAGCATCAGTCTAGTGGGAAAAACAATCGTCACACTGTACCAGGGTTATTAAATGGAGGAAGCAGAAATTAATTTGGGAGGAAGGGTCACGGAAAACTTCCTGGAAGACACATCTAGGCTGAAACATGAGTTAACTTTGCCAGACAAAAAATGAGAAGGCTCACCCACTTTGAGTTTTCAGGGGGACAAAATGGAAAAAAAAAAAAAAAAAAAAGCAGGAGAGCGCAAACAAGACTGAACTACACATATGTGCCCTGAACACAAAAAGACACCGTGAGTACCCTGCTTTTAAGCCTCTTGTGCATTCCGTCACTTCTGTTGGAAAATATATCCCCCCTTGTCCATTCTTGTCAATTCCTTTCGTTATGGGTAAACTGTTCCCCCAGAATCACAGAATGTGACTGTATTTGGAGATCAGGCTTGTAAAGGGGTAATTAAGTTACAATGAGGCCATTAAGGTCGGCCCTAATACAATCTGACTGATGTTCTTACGAAGAGAGGAAATTGGGATACAAAGAGAGACACCACAGATGGAAAACACAGAGGAAGCACCATGTGATGACACAGCAAGAAGTAAGTGCCTACCCGCAATCCGAGGAGAAATGTCTCAGAAGAAAGCAAACCTGATGACACCTTGATCTTGGACTTCTAACCTCCAGAACTGTGAGAAAATACATTTCTGGTGTTTAAGCCACCCGGCATTTTGTTTGCAGCCCTAGGAAACGAATACACCTTCTATTCCAGGCCCAACACTGCTCATTTCCAGAGTGAAACCTTCCTTATCACCCACATTACACACACCTTGGGGTTAAGGTTTCTCACAATACTCTGTACATCCTCCATTCAACTTTCATTCATTCCTTTAAGCAACAAACGCCTAGTGACCACCACTGTATGCCAGACCCTATCTTAAGGGCTGAGAACAGCTAACGTTTATTGAGCACTTACTAAGTGGCAGCCAGTACTCTAAGCGATTTACATGCACAACTCATGAAATCAGACAAGGTTCCAGAGACGCAGGTGCCGCTATGATACCCGCTTTACGGATGCCGTGCTGAGGCACAGAGAGGCCACACCGTAATGAGACTGAGCTAGGCTGTGGGTTCTGTCGTCTTAAGCACTACTGTCAACTACAGGGTGGAAGAAAACAGGAACCGAGAGATGGGCAGCGCGGGGCGGAGGCGGGCGGGACTGGCTTCCTGCGGGCAAAGCCTGGAGATGAGAGCACGCGGGTGGGGTGTCCAGGCCGAGGGAGCTACACGGGAGAAGGCCCGGCTCCCAGGCCCGGAACCTGGCCTTCTGGGTCTCGGTCCGCGTCCCCTGCGATGCCCGGCACAGAGCAGATGCTCGCTGACTCTCGCAGGGGCCGCCAGTATCCTCGAGCACCCTGGGATGCGGAGGGAGCTGCGGGTCCATGCCCTACTGGGCCACCTTCGGACGCTCGGCCTCCCTTCCCTTCCGGGCCATTTCCACCCTCGCCAGCCCCGCCTGCCTTCGCGAGGCCGGCCACCTTACCCTCGGAGACCGCTCTCTGCCCCGCCGCCTTGATCTACACCTGCCGCCGCGGTCCTGCCTCAGGCCAGCTCGCCTGGCCCAGCCGGCCGCGGAACCATCCCGACCACGCCCCCTTGGCTTGCAGGAACCGCCCTCCCGCTTCCGTTGGCGTCACTTCCGCTGGGTGGGGTGTTGTGTGGCCCCGGTGCGCAGACGCGCCGGGTGGCTCGGGAGTGAATTCCGCGCTGCGAAGCCTGAGAGGCCGGTAGTTGTGGCGCTGGGCGGGCGGCGGCAATTCCACGTGCTCCCTGCGGCCGGTTGAAACCGTTGGCGGGCGCTGGCTGAGAGGTGAGGGGCGGTGGCCCAGAGGTCCGACCTAGATGGCTGGGGCTCAGAGAGTGAGTAGGGGAAGGACTGGGTGGCCGATCCACTGTCAGCTCCTCTAGCATACGCATGGAGGAAGGAGTTCCATTCAGATCTTATTCGGGCTCTGGGGAAGTGGCAGGAGTTCTGGACTTAGGGTGACCAACTTGTTTTAGTTTTAAAACTGAAAGTCCCGCGTCCTGGGAACCCCCTCGGGCCTGGCCAAACCAGGACGGTTGGTCACCACCCGACTGGGCTTCAGGTTTGCTGCATGTTGGGGACAGGGCTCTTCTCTTGAGCCTTGGGACCTCAGTCCCTAAGGAGGAAGCCTTAGGATGTTGAGGACCAGAGAACGGACTTCGGGCCGGAATAACTGCCTGTGAATCTGGGTCGCCACCACCTGGATGTGTGATGACCTGGTGTAAGTTTTTTAAACTTCTTTGCGCCTCAGTTTCCTCATCTGTCATAACATATAGAACCTAACTCGGAGGACTGTGATGAGGATTAAATGAGTAGAAATGTGTTAACCTCCTATGAGAGGGCTTGGGTGCTCCATAAATGTTAGGATTCTCTGCAGCACCTCCCTCTGAGGAGAGGGGGAGAGCAATGAGGTGGGTGTGTATTTGCAACCGGACCTTCCTGCAGACAAGTCCAACTTGGGACTTACTCACACTGTGCCCCAGGCTCCCAGGGTCTAGCATAGTGCCTGACACTTGATAGTTACTCGACTGAAGGGATAGTGTTTAAAACAGTGCTGGTGATGTTGTGGGTGGGGTGGGAGGCATAGAAACATGGCTTCTGTAAGCCTCAGTTGATCTGTTTAGTGGAGATGGCTGCACTTACTTCCTAGGGCTTTTGCAAGGAACAAGGGAGAGGTCCTCGCCTTGTGAATGTCCCCCGTTGTAACCCTGGTCAGCCCCACATGTAAAGGTTTAGGCAGGATGGTGGACAGAGTATGTTTGTGCTTCTCCTGCACCATACCCGTGGTTTTTCACAATGCTGCCCATGGAAGGGGCTTGAGTGTTGTCTGGTTGGCCTGACTTCTTGTTTCACAGATGAGAGAACTTCAAGTTTAAAGGGGCAGTGGCATGCTCAGGGTCACAGTGCTCAGTGGGGGAATGTCCTGGGGTTGCCAGCCAGACCCCTCAGGTGGGCTGTTTCAGTGGTAGTGGTGGTAATGGTGTGCAGGTCAGTGTTTGTCTGCGCATGAAAGGATATTTTAAGAATAGTCGGCCAGCCGCTGTGGTTCACTCCTGTAATCCCAGCACTTTGGGAGGCCGAGGCAGGTGGATCATCTGAGGTCAGGAGTTCACCACCAGCCTGGCCAGTGTGGTGAAACCCCGTCTCTAAACTAAAATACAAAAATTAGCCGGACGTAGGTTGACGTGCACCTGTAGTCCCAGCTACTCCGGAGGCTGACGCAGGAGAATCGCTTGAACCCGGGAGGTGGAGTTTGCAGTGAGCTGAGATTGCACCACTTCACTCCAACCTTGGCGAAAGAGCAAGACTCTGTCTCAGGAAAAAAATAAATAAATAAAAGATAGTCAATATTGTTTTTGTGAAAAAATTTAATAAATAATACAAAAATGGGAGGAAGGTTAAAAAAAAAATTCATTCCACTCCCAGAACCAAACCTAAGGGCATGTTATCAGGGCACGTAATGGTCGAGTAGGCACCCATGGGGTGAGGAGCCAGAGAAGGTTGGAGTGAATTTATAAAGATAAATTGGTGGGTTGATGGTCATATTTAATGGAGCTGGGGCTTGGGAGAGGGCTGGGTGTAATGGCATTGATGTGCAAATTAGTAGGCCACAGAGAAACCTTTCTACATTGGACGAGGATGAAGCTCTCGTATCTGGTGTCTTAAAACTTTCCACCCAATGCTTTGAGTTAAGTATTAGATCTATTTTATAGATAAGCAGATTCTTGGAGGTTAAGATGCTTTGAGGTCATTTAGTTTTTAATGATTTTTTTTGGCATTAGCAGATCCTCAACCCAAGTCAGGTCCCAGTCCAACAAAACCTGGCAACCATCTTGTTAAGAGAAACCTATCAAGTTCCCTGCCCCTTACGGACCACTGGCTGCTGTCACTCAACTAGCTTTGCTGCCCAGCTGACAGCCTCTCCTGTGACATGGGTGGTCTCCTTGCCCACTGCGCACAGACTTTATAATTAAGGCTTAGGGTTCTAATGTTTATACTGGAAAGTCATCTTGTGGAGGCTTTAATTTTTTTTCTCTTTGGATGAGGACCTCAAGGTCTCAGGTGCTGAGTTAAAGCCAAGCAAACAGCCAGGACACGGCAGGTCAAGATGGAGGCAGGATGGGAACCTGGGCTTGTTGCCTGGTCTTTCAGGCTACCTATCCCACTTACTGTGACTTCGGGCAGTTCACTTACCCTCCTGAGCCTTGGGTTTTCCCTCCAGATGGTGGTGTTTGATCATAGAAGTCCTGGTGGACATAAATGGGACATGGCTTTGTAGAGCGCTTGTGATCGTGTGTTCTATTGTGCAGACTCCGTCATCTCTTTTGTGGGTGTGGCATGTGATGAGAGCTCAGTAAACTGACCGAACAGACAGTCGAGGAGGCAGCCAGAAGCGCAGGCAGAGTAACTGAGTGAGGACCCCCGGCGGATGCTGTGGTGGATAGCATAGCCCCAGCATTTAGGAAATGTCTGCTGAACTGAGTTAAAGTGACTTACCTGGGGCAAGAATGGAAGTATGCTCTCAGCCAGTCCAAGAACGCCGCCTTCTGCTTGCTTTTCTCTTTTAACGTGCCCACGTGGCTAGAAGGAAAGCGTACAGAATCTCTGTGGCTGCACTGGAACTGAACATCGTGCATAGGAAGTTGAGGAGCCAGGGAAGGAAAAGAGGACTCTGTTTCGATCCAGCCCCGTAAGAAACTGCCATCTTTTTACACTTAGGGCTAAACGTTGAAATCTGTCACATCTGAGCCTGGCAGACAGGGTGTCTTCAAAGTCTCAATGCAGTTTTAAGGTTTCATAATTTCAGAAGCATAAATGCTGCATACTTGCCAAAAATTAAAGAAAGTTTAATTAAATTTTCTTTATGCTTATCTAGTCTTGTGGAATTTGAATAATACCATTTTACTTTATTGTTTTAGGCAATGTTTGCTGTCTTCCATTAGAGGGACTGAATTTCCACGTGATGGCTTTTTGTAAGTTTGTAGCATTTATACTTATGAATATTAAGCCTACTGTGCAGTTATGCTGACTTTGAAGGTTATGATGGTTTTGAGCTTTTCTTTGAAGCTCTAGCAAGTGTTTATGGCGTAAATTACAGGTATTTTCCCCTGGGGCTAGGTCGGGTTTGAGGTGTAATCAAGGTGTCTCTTGACCAGCTGCTGGGCTGTCCTCCAGGCCCTGAATAAGGGGGAGGTAAGCTCCTTACAGACCTTAGCTCATTAGCCAAGCAAGTGGACACTGCTGTTCCCGTTTCATGGCACGTGTAAAATCAAAAGGAAGGCAGGAAGAGACAGAGTTCTGACTTCCTGTGCAATCCATCCATTCTGCCTTAAACAAAGACCAAATGAAAATGATGGGAGAGTTATTTTTCAGCTGGCACATAATCAGATTCTAATCATCTTCCGAATTGCTATTAACTACACTGTAGGGTGTGGCTAATCTCCAGAGAGCTCGAATGTTTCGCACAGATACTCTTGAGTATCTTTTTGTCAACATCACTGCTTCTTTCAGTCACTATATTTTGTTTCCAGCTTCCTTCCTAGGCCTTTAATTCCTGACCTGCCAGGACAGGAATCTCCCAATTGAATCTTAAGGCTTGTTGAAAGCTTGCTTTCTCCCATCTCCCTCTCCATCAAGAGATAGAATTGTCCTTAGCAACAGAGGTTGGCAAGCTCTAAGCCATATCTAAGTTCAGGGACTGTTTTTTGTTGTTGTATCTTCTTAGGAAAGTACTTGAAAGCTTTTCAGCAGATAATTTGGCATATCACAGCTGCTTTCACCTTGTGCCTGTGATGAGAATCTGTTTCTTGGTGACATTAATAAGTTATTCCTGCTCTTACACCAAAGTACACCTCCAGGCTCTTTGAGAATTCGGTGTTGGCTCTTGTTCAGCCTTTGTTCTCCCTTGTCAGGCAGGATAGCGGCTCTTGTTGCCTGGCATGTGGGACATCCTTGGCCTTTTTTAGATGGTAGGCTTTGAGGGAGCTGGCTCATGGGAAATGTGGTTCCAGCTCCCAGGAGCCTGGTAGTATCACACATCTTAACAGTAACCAGATGTGAAGATGACAGTTGCTGCAGCACATCCAGGGTTTTCTTTCCTGAGAATTTGGTACTAGGTTGTAGCTGACCGCATGCCCCGTGCTTACTAGAGTACACTGATAGTGAGCAGAGGAGTGGGGCCTGGGACCCAGGGTCAGGGTTCTGTGGTTTGTGTGTAGCATAGAAGCTGAACTGATGTCTGATAGTGTCCCACAGGACAGCTCCACAAGAGACCAGCTGGGCCTCCGTAAACCCTGGAGATGCAGCCAGGTTGTACATTTCCATTCAAGGCTGAATGGACATGAATAACCCTGGGTATTGCTTGGGTGTGACCTTACCAGCAGTGATCCAGAACATGTTGGTGGAGGAGCGACGGTGTTTTCATGCATGAGAATG